ATCATCAACACCTTCTCCAAAGCCTCTGGTTTGACTCTAAATCTAAACAAATGTGAATTACTTTCCATTAAATCTCCTTTAAAAGGCACATTCCTCAACATTCCTATAAAAGACAAAGTTAAATATCTTGGAATCACAATAATTAAAGATCAAAACATAAGATCAATAGAAAATTTTAACCCCATAATTAAATCAGTTGAACAAAGATATAATTTATGGCTCCAGCGAGATCTCTCTCTCTTAGGACGTTCATTACTAGTCAAAGCTGAAGGCTTATCTAGACTCGTTTATCCGGCCCTTGCTCTTGATGTTCCCAAACAAATCAGTTCCAATATTAATACAATAAACTTTAACTTTATATGGAAAAAGAAAAGCCATCTCGTCAAGAAAAATATTCTAATGAATAAAGTTGAAAAAGGTGGAATTGAAGCCCTTGAGTTCATATCTTTAAACAATTCATTCAAAATTAAGTATTTAAAAAACCTTCTAAAAAACCCAAACTCTATATGGAATGCTATTCCCATTTACAACTTTGAGAAAATTGGAGGATTACCCTTTCTTCTTAGATGCAATTATAATATACCTAAAATACCCCTAAAATTATCTCTGTTCCATAAACAAATGCTGTTAAGCTGGTCACTTCTGTACAAACACAATTTTTCTCCTCATAAATATTATATCTGGAATAATGAAGACATTAAATATAAAAATAAGACAATATTTTATAGAAAATGGTTTGACAGAGGAATATTGCTTGTACGCCAATTACTAAATCCAAATGGTCACTTATTGTCTTATTCTGACTTTATGTTACTTTTTCAATTTCCTGTTACTCCTAAAGAATATGCTGTGGTGTTTGACGCAATCCCAAACGGATCATTAAAGCTTTTATCATCTTCACCTCCAGATCAAATTTACTCAATACCAAGTTTTGATCCAAACACCATTTATATCGATTATGATTGTCCTTTTATAAGTAAGAAAACAACCAACAAAATGTTAAGAAATCTTCTATTACGAGATGTTGTTTTTTCACCAGCTTGTATATTTTATTGGTCCAACATTTTTGAAAATATAAATTGGAAGTGGACTTGGTTGCTCCTAAAAAAATACTTAATAAATAATAAGGTAAGAGAAATTTCTTATAAAATTATTCATAATATTTATCCTGTTAAAACATTTCTGATAAAAAGATATAAATGGGATCTGGACCCTATGTGTACTTTCTGTAAAATTAATGAAGAAAAACTTGTTCATCTTTTTTGGGATTGTAATTACACCAAAATATTATGGAGAGATATGTCAATTTTCTTTCACAAAAAAAATCTCAATATTACTTTAACAAATAAGGATGTTTTGTTTGGAATGGAGAAATGTAAACTTGCCAAAAAAGAATTTTTATATGTTGTTAACTTTTTTATTATTTATGGTAAATATCATATTCACACCTCCAAGTATTTACAGCAAAAGCCTAATTTCCAGATCTTATTATCCTCTATTAATATTTATATCGAATCCTTAAAACTAAGCTCAAATGCTAAAGCCATTCAAATCATAACTGCCCTTAAACAGCTACAACCCTCGAGCAGTGATTTGATTTTGACGTTATAAATTAATTGTTCTATGTTCTGTAAAGCCCTTGGGTGTTTTTTTTTTTTTTTTTTTTTCTAACGTTTTATATTTTTTTTTTGTGTTGCTTTTTTTAAAAAAAAAAAAAAAAAAAAAAA